CCTCCTCTACCTTTGGAGTAAAGCTGTTTCAGAGGACAGAGCTAAGACTCACCACCACCACCACACCACTTCTGCCACGCTCCGTGACTTTCTTTACAGATGGCCTCAGAAAACACCAGGATGGTTCCAGCCAGACCAGTCAGTGTAAACTGGTCTGTACTTGACACACAGCAAGCAATTCCTGCCAGGTTCACCGCAGTGGGCTCAGAGTTCTGTTTGAGAAATGCTTCTACCCAGAAAAAATATTTACACAACTCAAGAGTGGGCTGCACTATACTGCAGTGTTCTGACTGCTCTGCTGTGAGTCTCTGGCTTCATGTGAGTGACCAGGTCTTATCAGTGGCCTTTGTACCTCATTTAAAATCTGCATGGAGACAAAACCTAGAGCCAAACAACTGGTCAAGGTAACAAGATTCAAGCCCCACAACAGGTTACCAACAGCCATGAAAACAGTTGTACCCTTTAACCCAACTGTCTGGGTTCTATGAAATTATTTTCAGGAAATAAACAACAGAGAAAAATGACCACGCAAGACTTGGCTCCCTGCATCATTACTTACCAGAGGAAAAATCTGGAACTGGTTCAAATGTACAAACAAAAAAGAAAGAGAAATTCAACAGAAACATTCTAAGGGAATATTACACAGTCATGGAAAAATCCTGATTTGAAAACTACTTTTTCTAGGAAGACTTGGAAACAATGCTAAGAATGTTAATGTTAAGAGCTGAGTATCAAAACAAATGAGCATTTATTTGAAATTGTCTTTGTGTGCCTGACAACTATGAGAAAGAAATATTAAAACTAATACCTTCTGTGGAATTTTGAGTAATTCTTCCCTTCTGTTCTCCTATCAAATTTTAAATGCAGTTCAATAAGCACTTTAAGTAAGTAAATATAGATCTTCTGGAAAAAGTGCTGTGAAAGAGAAATATCAAGAAGGGAAGAAAGCTAGAATAAACCATCAACTATTAGCAACTATTAGCAAAAATAAAGATGGAGATGCAGGCAAAACAAGTCACTTCACTTTATTTCATCTGACTGTCTGGGTGCAGGAGAATAGTGCAATTTGCCCCAATGCTACAGGCTCTGACAGGGCCTGTCACCATGGCACCTGAGCAGGTGCACTAGATCAGGAGCTCATGACTGAGAAGGCAGAACAAGTAGGACAGTGACTTCCCCTGACATCTGACCAGCATTTTATATTTTAAAAAGTGTTTTTACAGGTATTGTTTTATTTTCCCTCATCACAATCCTGTGAAGAAGGTAGGACAGGTATTATTATCTTCATCTGACAAATAAGCCACTTGTTATTTGACTTCTAAAGAGATTCTAAGCTCTAATTAAAGTTTCACAACATTAATTAGTGTTTAGAGAGGTATCAATCAGTGTATCCAGTTTACAACATGATTCAGAAACTTGGGGAAAAGCAGACTGTCCCCATCCCTAAACCCCACAGAAATACAGCAATTTTCCTAACCAGTGGCCCCCATATGCTTCCTAGTTAGCTGTAAGAGTCACGGGCAATTTATGATGCCCATAACTCATTTTGTTAACAAGTCACATTAGGGAACTCTTTGTAATAACATAATAAAATATTTTAAATTAATTAAAATAAAACTACCTGTCAACAGAGGTAGGATGGAGGATCTGGTGCAAGATAATACTATGACAAATGACTGACATGGATAGGGTGGGCGGCAAGGAGGCAGATGCAATCTTCCAGGTAGGATTGCCAGGTTTAGAAATAAAAACAAAGGACACCCAGCTAAACTTGTTGTATTTCAGATGAACAACAAACACTTTTTAAGTGCAAAATGGTCTCTATTTTACTTGGAGAGTATATGCAGATTTCACCTTCCACTAGAATGTATGACTGTTGAGGCAGGGATTTTTGCCTGTTTTGTTCCCTAGTGTATCCCCTGTGTGCAGAACAATGGCTGGCACATAGTAAATGCTCAAAATATATGCCATGGTCTAGTAAAGTTCATTTCTTAAGCTAGGTGATGTGTGCACAGGTGCTTGTTATGAAATTTTTATACATTTTGTATGTCTGAAATGTAACAAATTTTACAAAGTCTAAGACTAACTCTCTTCTTTTAAGATCAGTATCTGTGACCCAGTCTAACTGTGGAACTCAATGGGGAAGTCAGAGTATAAAGGACTTGGCGTGGTCCCTTACCCTTGTTCTAAACAGTGACAGAGATAGGAGATGATCTATCCTCAGAAGTATTTTGCTGCCACAGGTACAGTTAGTCTGTGGGTTGCTTTGCTCACCTGCTCCTCTTCTACTTTATTCCTGTGATCATTAAAAGTGTTTCTTTGACCAATGCCCTGACTCCACCTACATCTGTGTTTATGCTTCATGTTCTAAGGAGTCCAAAGCAGTAACTTCTTAAGGGAGGATTAGGGGTGACTCTTTGGGCTTAGGATATCTAAGGGAAGTAGAATTTTTAAAAAGTACATTTAATAATACACTTTATCTTTGGAAAGTGAAAAAACAGTTAATCCCACATTTAAAACCACTTATTTAACCAAATAATTTATCTTTTTCTCATGGAAAGGATCAGTAACCTGCCCTCATTAGCTACCATAAAACCTTTTTAGCTCATCCTAATCTGAGCTTGTAAATATTTTTTATGTTAATTGCATTCCAAAATAGTCTACTTCTAACTAACATGTTTTTGCATTGTTTGAGCTTTGCTTTTTTTTAAATCATGGGCAGGTATTTCTTTTCTTTTTTTTAACCAGACCATGGGCAGGTATTTCTTTTTAAGGCAAAGTGGGGGGAAAAAAGGTAAAATAATGATTTTTATAAGCATAATCTCAACAATGTAAAATATGGAAAACTTAAAAACAAAATGGGAAATGAGGAAAGTCTGTATTTCTGCTTAATTACTTTAGACAATACCTCATTTCTATAAAATGTTTCTATAATTAACATATATACACATGTATATGTAATGTACATATGCATTTGTGCATATGTGCACATATACATATATGTATATGTGTGTATATGTAACTGTGTATGACTGAGTCTCTAAACATAATTTCTTGCAGACTTACAGAAACCATGGAGACTAGAATAAGCAAAAATCTTCCTTTCCCTTCCCTTCTGTTGTACCTGCTAGTAGTAACAATTCATACTCTCACACCTCAGAAGTCACAAATCAGAAAGCTCTTCTGTGCCTTCAGAGTCCAGACCTGTTAGGCAGGATATCAGGTGAGGAAGAGTTATAGATAGATCACTGGACTTCAGGGACCAAGAGAAAAGGGACATTCCAGCACAAAACAAGTTGAAAAGGAATTTGAGGCAAATAGGTAGATAGCTAAACGCTTGAAGATGGGATTTTGCTGGAGATGCCAAAGAGTAGAAGTCCTGAGTTCTAACAATCCCAAGTTCCCCTTCTAGTCTTCTGAATGTGACAGTGGAAGTGAGGGCAGAAGGGGGCAGGGAGTCACAGCATCAAAGGAGATTGAAGTCCACCTACAATGCTCATGAAATCTCATAATGTTCTAATCTCCTCCTCGTCAATATTTTACCAGAGACACAAATAATAAACCTACTTCTCTTACTTCACTAAGTTACTGAGTGTCTCTGTGTCTAGTAAGTTACTGAGTGTCTCTATGCTATCACAATGATGATAAGGATAACAGCATAATCTCACAGGATTACCGTGAGTTTTAAGTATAATAATGCAGGTAAAGCATCTTAGGCATCCTGGTACATATGAGCATTATAAATGTTAGACATTGTCATTCACATGTTATTATTGACAGGAGTCCCTGAACAGAATTCATGAATGTCCTGAGAAGTCAGGCAGTACTAAGGACTAGTAAAATAATGGACAGAGAAAGATCAGTTGTCCCAGAAAGAACAACTGAATTTATTTGGGTTTGGTATTGGATAAGCTTAAGCATTCTTGTCAGATACTTGCTGCTGAACTGCTGGAACCAAAGGGTACAGCACGGGCTGGGCAAGCCCATGTCACAGATCTCCTGCTGTTGTCTTTAAAAGTGCTTTACAGCTTATATATAGCGCTTTTAAGTATGTTTCTGGAGCTCCCATTGGTTCTAACCCTGTGGGTGGATATACTAACTGGTATTTTACACATGAAGAAATAAACCTGCCCAGTATTTCATAATTAGGACTGAAGTTGGGACTCTAATTCAGGTCTTCTGACTCCAATTCCACATTCTCTCCATTACACAGTGCTCAGAGCCAGCAGAGCTAGAACTTCAATTTGGGCTCTCCTCATGAATTCCCAGAGAAAAGATTAATACTCTTACACTTTCTGCTATTTGGCAAATAATCTAAAAGAGGAATGAAGAATTTGCAGAAGACAAATTGTCATACCATCTCTTAGGAGAATTTTCTTTGCATTTGTTCTACAAATTTCTCCCAAGTCTTACAGAAACAATATTGGGGTCGATATGCAAACTGTATAGGTCTCTAATATAACCAAAGTGAGTGTTAGAATGTCTTTTTCTTAATTACTTATATGATGTCACATATTCCTCTCAGGAAAAGTCACTTTCTTTTTGTTTAGCAACATCAAACAAAAAGTGTTTGGTAGTGGATATTAGGGACTGGTTAAAGCATCCAAACTCATTTCTTCTCTTGTCATTCAATCTCTCATAAAGAGGTGCAGGAGGAGTATATATTATACTTGCATCAGCATTCAGGATTTCACATTCATCTTTCAACACTTCAACAAAATTGACTTCGGTAATAATTTACCTAACTGATATTGGTACACATAGACTCTAAAGATAAAAGCAAGTTCTCTAAGAGATTTAAAACCTGCCCCCCCTCACCTTCAAAAATAAAAAAGCCACACAACTCCAACTTCAATGGATAGAAAACTGCTTTGAAATCCTTGCTATCTAGGCAACTTGCAATCATTTACCCATTATTAAAAGAGAAATAAGAAATCAGTTAGAACAAAGACATACACCTACTTATACACACACATATGCATTCCAGAACACAGAGTTACCTGAGGCACAGCCATTAACCTTTGTGATGTGAGCCATGTTGGCTTAAATCCAATGACAGATCCAGAAAGGAGTGAGGAGTCATGCAAATTTTATGCATCAAGTTACCAAACGCATTCAACCTGAAACAATAAAGAAAACCCCATCAAAATGGATCGTTTAAAAATATGTACAACACTAAATCTTAGACTACTGTTTACAAAGATGACTGCTAATGGAGAAAGCAAACAGGAAAGGAGACAGCAGAGGACCAAGGTGGGGGCTGCACTGGACCCAACCACCAGATGTTACCAGGATAGCATGCTCACAAATGTGCCAGGAGAGGCACTGAAAGCAGCTCTATTTCTAGACATCATACTCTCATAGGAAACAAAATATTAGTTCTCCAGAAACATGCCTTTTCAGGAAGGTGATCTTCATATACAAATGACCTGTAATGTGTACTGTCTATAGAACTTCATTACTTCTACTTGGTTCTTAAACTTATCTTCTCTTTCAAATGTTGTTTCCCCAACAGTTTTACTTCCTCAGTTGCACTTGAAAGCTGTTGCTGCACCAAAAGTTCACATTTTTAAAAAGATTAATTTTATGCAAATGCTTTTGAGATAGTATGAGTCTTTTGCTTATTCAGTCTTCCAAAACACAAACTTGACCTAGTCAGTCCCATCTCAACATAAAATCTTCAATGGCTCCCATTGTCTTTTTAGATAAACTTCAAATGACACAGTTTTGGAACATTAGGGTTCATGTTGGGCAACACATTTCTCATTTTATATTGATTCTTTATTTAAAAGTTGACTGAGATTACTACAACATGACTTATGTTACAATCAGAAGATTTAAAACAACCAGTATAGAAATAAGAAAATGAACACTGACCTCTTCAACCTTCACCTTTACAAAATGCCTTTTGAAAAATGCTGCCATAGAAAGCAAAGATACACATAGAAATATTTCATTCTGTCCAAATTCTAACTGTTGACAAGGACTATGAAGCTTTTATAGAATTTTAAAAAATGGAGTTGAAGTAATTCCAAACTAAGAATTAGTGTCAATTCAGAAGCACACATGACCTTCCCAACAACAGGAGAATGTTAAAATAATAAAATGCCCACATATACTAGATTCTAATGCATTTAAATAATTTAAAGTCTTTAATAATACAGTAAAATACTCAATGTACATGGACAAAAATTGTATTCTATGATAAACTTAATTTTATGGAAAATATGTATGTACATATTTTTAAAATTACACATAAGAAAACGAGAGAAGTAAATGCATTAAAATATTCATTGTGGTTCTCCCTGGGTGAAGCAACTATGGATGATTTTAGCTCTTTTATTACTGTAGTAATAATTATTTTAAAAAAGAAACAGTTGATTTTGGTTTTATTTGCTTTAAAATACATTGGCGAAAAAAAGAGTATCTAAAAATGCAATGCAGCGGCCCCCCTGGTGGGGCAAGGAGTTAAGACGCAACCTATAAAGCTATCCACAGCCTCTGCAGCACCAGTTCGATCCCCAGGCAGGGAGCAACCCCGCTGGCGCAGCAGACCTCTCCTGACTCACCCGCTGCTTTCCTCAGCAGTGTATTTCAGTAGATCTTCCTGTTCTGTTCCCCACTCTGTCTCTGGTGAATCCTTTCACCCCCCACACTTCTGGCCTGTACCCCAGTTCTTGTATGCATAAATAAATAAATCTTAAAAAAAGACGCAACCTATGAAGCTATCCGCAGCCACTGCAGCACGAGTTCGATCCCCAGCCGGACAGGGAGCAACCCACATGGTGCAGCAGACCACTCCTGACTCGCCTGCTGCTCCCCTCAGCAGTGTATTTCAGTCAGTCTGCCTGTTCTGTTCCCCACTCTGTCTCTGGTAAATCCTCTCACCAACGCCCCCTACCCCGCACCACTGGCCTGTACCCCAGTTCTTGTATGCATAAATCTTTTTTTTTTTTTTTTAAAGGAAGGAAGAGGAAATGCCTGATGACTTTGATGGCACAGGGTGATAATTTCTTACTGCTCAGTCAGTGACATTTTCCTCACTCTTTGAATGGGTTTACCTACAGTTCAAAGCTAACTACTATGAAAACAACTCTGCAAACTCTAAAGGACTGGCTTTTTACAGGCTGCTCTGACAGGAATGCTCCCCTGCAAGGCTTTTCTCCACTGCTCAGCTTACCTCAGAGACCTGATTCTCAGTCTTCCCCTTGAGGGCCCCTAGCTCCCTGCTGGTTCCTTGTTTCTGTCTGGCAGTTAAACAAGAAGGCAGGATGGCTCTAATCTCTCTGACTATGTGGCAATCACCTGACATTCTGCAGGAAAAAGCGCTAGTTCAGGTCCAAGGCATTGAACCTGGACAGCAATGGCATTTGTGTATAGTCAGGGCTGGTGAAATTAAAGTCAGGCTTTAGGGATAGAGGGAACATTATATTTAAGGATATGAATGATTATGGGTGCTTTGGTGGTAGAAATGCTGTGGTGACTAAGAGGAGATTATCCTGTACTGTCAAAAACACTAACAAGGATGCAACACTATGTTGGTTCAGTAACGATGAAGAAATATGAATGACAAGAAATGTAGACTTGTATCCAAAAAAGGATATAAGGCCTGGAATGTCTAAAGAATGGGGTTAGGACTGTCAACTAATCACATGCCCTGGTCTTAATTAGAAATTGATGATGATTACTGATGGAAGCTAGCATTTCTCAAGCTCTTACTTGAGAGTTATTAAAATCTAAAATAATTTCCACTCTAAGGTACATCACTGCTTTAAGTACCATTGATCTCTTTAAAAGATGCTGTCAATTAAATAGGGACAAAAGAAAGAAACCCAACTTCTAGAATTATCCAACTAATTATACTTTTAAAAGTTAACAACAAAAACCTGAGCAAAATTCCTGTTTACTGGCCCCTTTCTTGCTCTATGTGCTTGCACTCTTGCTTCATAATGGCCTGTAAATACCACCATTTAAACTCTTGAGGGCAAATAGAAGGCAAGAAGAAACAAGCCGCACATGCTATGTGGAATGAAATATGTGTCAAGGAATTTGGATGGAGATGTTCCCAGAAGCTTCATAAACTTTGGTCCAAGCTTCTCTCCTGTTATTGAACCTCTTTCACCATGCGGAAGATCTTTATCTCAGATCCATGTTGATCTCTTGCCCCTTCCCCAAGCTGAACAATAAAAGTGAGGAAGAAACCTAAAATTAGGAACTATAAGCACAGCACTGATAAAATAACACACAAAGACAACAGTTTTATAATATGTATTGATTTTTCCTAGTTATTGTCCATGCCTGACAGGTAGCCTCAAACTGTGAGGTCTCGAACTTCTTAATGATATGTAGCGTATAAACCAGAGGTTTGGCCACCATCCAGTCTCTATAATAGATCAATAAACTGCTTCTTTTCTTCCTCAGAGAAAAGTGCAGAGCAGTAAATCTTAAGTAGTACAATGGTGGCTTAGTTCTGCTAGCTAAGAAAAAGCACTTCTTTGGAAAGACTTAAGAAAATACATCAACAGAGAAAGTAATTTGTCTTCTCCATTTCCAGCGACTGATCTGTATTGATGAACATTTTTGCAATTCTCCAAGTGTGGCACAGAGAATAATGTAGACACCGCATAGATAACGCCATAAATACTTATATTAGCTTAATATGAAGCAATATGAGAAACAGATTGAAAGACCTTTTCTAAGGAGACATCAATGAAAACAGCACTGTCTATTCATCACATACCATGGTCTTGATTAGAAGTTGATGATGATTACTGATGGAAACTAGCATTTTTCAAGCTCTTACTATTGTTATTAGTTATTAAAATCTAAAATAATATCCACTCTAAGGTACACCACTATTTTAAGTACCACTAATATCCTTAAAAGATGCTGTCAATTAAATGTTGATAAAATGCTGTTTTAAAATTACATTAACTGTGGCAAAATAAGGCAGAAAGAAAAAAAAAAACAAATTCGGATGATTTCGTTAACATGTGGAATATAGAGAAACAAAACAATGGAATAGACAAGATGAAACCAAACAAGCCCTAGCAATCTGACAGTAGATTTGAACTACCAGATAGAGGAGGGTGTGGGGTAGGGGCAAAGGAGGAGGGAGAGTCCACTGGACTATGGGAAAGATTTATATGTGCATAGGTGGTGTGTGTGGTATGGTAAAATACATCTAAGGAGGTGTGAGGCTATATCTCTAAATCACATACAGTGTTGTAAACCAGTGTTACTTCAATCAAAATAAAATAATATTAGCTGTAAGGCACATCCTCATTTCAAAGGTGTTAAAATGTGAAAAATGTGCATCTTAGGATGGTACTTTTTAGAGCACTTAATAGTTATTACCTTATTTAAACCTCACAGCAGTCCTATAAAGTACTAACAGATAGGACACTGAGGCATAGGGAGGTTCAGAACTTGTTAAGGTCACATGGCTAGTAAGTGATAAGAGCTACATTTAGATTTAAGCAATTCAGCCTGAGAGCTCATCCTCGAGGCCATGTGAGTATGTGATCTGGAGTAAGGATACTATTTCCTTTACAAATAAGAATTATAAGCATAAATGAGTGAGTCGATCTTGGGATCTTGGGGATGCACATGCTTATTAGAAGGATGCTTTGCTCAAATCCCTTTTAGAAAGAAAATTATGTTTCCGAATTGTAGCTAATACTTTTTTTAAAAGCAATCATATTTCCAACTTAATTTCTTAAGATTACATTGCCTAAGTTTGAAGAATGACTTTGATGACACACAGGAAATGTCTCAGTACTTAATCATCATCACATTTTTGGGCTCCACATGGTATTTTCAGTCAACTGGATTATGAATCTTGCTCATTGAGCTTTACTATGAATGTTACTTGACTTAAACAAAGTACTTTTCAACTGAAAAAAATTTCCAAGAAATTTTTTGGGTAGCTCTCAGCAGAACCACAGGAATTTCAAAATTGGAATAAGACACTGGCTGCTTAAAATGGCATTTACGAAAGGGCTAACAAACACTATGATATCAAGAATCTAGAGTCTTTTACAATATGTCACAGTATTTTTTTCACTAATAAAATTAAGGAATTAATATAAATATCTTTACCTAAAATCTAGAAAAGACA